CTTGTCAACTATAGCCTTATGGAAATTTCATAAGATGTCCGAGATCTTCTTTTGTTTCGAATAAAGTGGCTTTTGGATCACTGGATCACCACGTAATACAAAATATCACCAATTGCCCCTGTTTCTACCCCACTCTCCTTTACTTATTTTTGCAATTTAGAATATTACATGTATTTTATCATGTGCAAATATACGTGATGCATTACATTCAATAAGTTCCTTTTCAATAATTGTCAAAAGAAATTGGACTTCAAAAATAATTTTTATGTAATGCGCGACTATTAAAGTGCACTCATCCTATATACTCTTTTTAATAAAATCATTGAGAGAGACATGTCATCATGTTCTCTTATTTCACAATGCATTCGCTTTGACATGTCACAGTGTGTATATCACTGTGATAAATGATAATCTATCCATTTAACAGTAATTTAGTGCAATGCATTCTTTTTTCACAAAATGTTTCTTCGAATTTTATGCAGAAATATAGCAATCTGACAGAAAGCACGCGAAGCGTATGTTAATTAAACTGCAGTAAACAAGCTGGTCTTCCAATTCAAAGACGCAGTAAATTTTTATTCAATTGTGATACACAATACCGAAATATAATTATCGGTAAAGTATTGGAAAAGTTCGCTACTCCTTTTAACGCTCGAATACCGTACTTCGACTCGTCGCGACTTATTAAAGACGCTTTATATCTTGAAGAAGCTGCCATGTCAAGTTTGCCGACGCAAAACAAAAAGGAAAAACAGTCTGAAAAAAAGCTGTTACACGGGATACGATAGGTAAAAGTTACACCACAGAAGTTGGTTCATCAGGCGTTTCCTGCATTTGGAACTTGTAATAACAAACCTGTCGTGCCACAAAACGGCGAGGTAAAATATGACCTATTTTCGTCAGTCTCCGAATTGAAAGTATTTCCGACGTCTGAGGGTTAAGCTAAGGCGGGAAATGTCGGATCGAAACGTGCTTGCGAGGGGAACGAAGATGGAGTGAAAAACGGGGCGTTCGGCTTGTCGTTCGTAGGCTCATTCGTACTATAACGCGGGCTGACGTGTGTCGATATAGTAGAGGTGCACTCGCGTGTTTCGGTCCAGCAGCGGAGTCTCTCCGGGACCATAACTCGATATCTCTCCGAAAATCCTTCTATCATGCTTTATAATCTGTACAACGTCCGAATTGAATGTTAGTCCAAAGATCGCTTGTAAATATTAACCAACACACTGAAGTAGTCATGCAGTTTTGATTAGTTGAAATGAATATCATTGCTTCTCGCTTCAACTATATCAAAGCTACCTCATTGCGAAAGTCTGCTTAAGCAGTGGCTTTTTATTCATCTTTAAACTATTGTTTGTAAACGTCAATCTATAAGTTGCAAGCATATATATGTACTATATGTAAAGTGCGAATCTCTTACAAATAGATTTCTATTTAATTTACAAATTATTAATTTTTTATAGATTTTAAGTCAATTAACTATAAGTAAAAAAAATACTTGGGCAGTAACATGCTGCAAGTGTAACGTACTTTTGTTTTATTTTTGCGTGGAATTCTGAGAAGAAGCACTTTTACGTGCAGCCAAAGAATTAACCTTTCCGCCAACGAGAAGTGTACTCTGAAGTGGTTCCGCCGCTGCATTTTAATCTCTTACTCGAGATTAAAATTTCAATCTCGCTCTTTTATTTTCCAAACCACGACGTGTATATTAGGGAAAGTTCGACATCGGAAACATTATTCGTGCTTTAAATTCCACGAGCGTTTTGCGATATTTTTCCATTAGCTTATATAAGTTAATATTTCGAGTCATATATTTACCGAGTAACGCAGATTTTACATGTTCGTTGCCGTAAACTACCAATATAAACACATATGTATATTCGAATGAATGTATTGAATCAATAATATTGCTAAATCGCTTTGCAGGGAAAAATATTGAAACCATCAATAAACCTCGTGTAACAAAAAGTTACCGTTACAATGTTTGATTGTATTTGCACGCACTAAATTCAATAAATAGAAAATCAAAACGTTACGCATTTTGGTAATTTTAGTAATAAAAAAGATTGTTTTATGCACGCGTTATTTTAATATTAGCATTACTTACTCAATCTCGACGAAATCTTCGTCATTGATTGATAAATTGAACGTTTTAATTGTTTATAAATAGATATCGATATTTTGTAGAACAGCAAATCTGTTCAAAATACGAGCAGAACATTTCTCATTCACTGGTTTTTCAATTGCTACCAGAAGTGCACTGTCGCACGAGATCGAGTGTGGCTTATCTCGTTAAAGCGAGATCAAAGATGAAGCTGATGAGCTGCAATACGCGCGGCCATTCATGGATATTCTTGGAAAGCATTGCCTTTGCTTAACAATTGATTCTGACTTTTACTATTTCCGATATAGCAAGTAAAAATATCATTATTGAATCAAACGTTATGTTTGTATTAATATACTATTATAATATACCATTTTATTTTAAACTAATTTGAGCAAGAATGAATAATATGTGATATCTTCGCAGATATAAGTAATAATAAGAAAATACTAATATAAAATAATATAAAAAAGCTTATTTATCACATTGAGTTAGCGATGAATTCCACATTATTTTAGCTCACAACAATCTCTTCATTTTTTTAAATCTATTTGCATGTAAGGTTTAATCTACCTGCATACTTTAAGTATAATTGCTTATTGATATGACTAATGTAGATAATATAATAGTAAGAATTTAGTAGCATAATAGCAAATGCTGCATGATCAATGTGATGATAACATCAAAGTAGACAGCTTGTTCAAACTTCGAACAAACGTCTTTTTATTCTCACCGGAGCTATGTATAAAAGATGTATTAAGTGCAAGACAAGTGGCCGATACGGATGTACATAGAAGTGATATTACTACCGCTAGAAAACAGAAAACATATCTTAGGTGATCAACGAGATCTCGTAAATATAAGTAACATATCTTTTCAGAATTTGTTATTAAAAAACAAAATAAAAATTCATATTTTCATGCTAGTTACGTCTATCTTTTCGTAGATTTTAAATAGTAAATATGATAAAACTTATTAATATATTTACGTTTCAAAATAATTTATTCGTCAATTTTATTTACAGAATAGAATTATGTTTATAAAATTATTAAGCTAAAAAAAGAACGCAAATATGATGGCTTCTGATTAAAGCGATAAATATAATTAGTTTTTGATGCAAAACGGCACGACTTATATATATAATTAAATACGAACGTCGTCGATATCTCGAAAATTTGTCAAAATACGGGAACATGAGCTGACGAAGCAATTCTCGTCTCCTTCGCTGACCAAACTCATTCCCTCTCTCTTACTTTTCTCTGATGGTCTCTCTTGGCTATGCCCTGTAGGGTCGATAGTCCAGTTAGTGTACAGAGAGCTATGCAGGCCAAACACACAGACCTATGTAAATTGCGTACGATGTACATCTCCTCTCCTGATGAAAAGGGTTTTCTCTTGCTTTCAGTTAAGGCAAATCGTGGCACGACTTTTGCTTCAAAGTCAATCCTCACTCGCGCGTGATCACGCCGCACATTTCGCAAATCAGCGAGTAGCCGACAAATTTTCGTGGAGAAGATGCGTGCAATGCAAGACGCTAAAAAAGTTTAAAAGTGCCGAGTGATTACATGAAAAAATTATAAGTTAGGTATGGAAACGAATGGCTAAATATTTATATCACCGATATTTTATAGCACTTTTCGGGAGCACCGAGTATGATGTGACGTATACTGTATTGCTTCTGATAATACTAACAATAAGTTAATAAAGTATAACGCACTCTCGCTCTCTTTTTTATTATATATTAATATAAAACACTAATTTACTCTTTACTTACCTAAATTATATATATTTTACACTTATTTTTAATGTATATATAAATATTGTACACTTATTTTTACTGTTTATATAAAAATATATTTACATACGTGTTATCTGTAAATGGAAAATTTTTTTACATAAATGTGTGTTTGTGTGCGTACATATACAAGGTGTATAAAAAGTACCGGTACCGCAAAAAATATCGAAAACTAGACATTTTACGAAAAAGTGTTTCAGATAAAAGTTGTAGAGTTTTAAAAGATCTATTTACTGGTCTTATCAGTTTGACCTTGAATGACATCATCAAGGTCAGGACAAAATCACCTTAAATTTTTTTAATGGAATGCCCTATTTTTTATTGCAAATTCTTATAGCTTAATTCAAAAGCTTTCCAAAACACTATAATAAAGTTTATTTCCATTAAGTACTTTTTGACTTATGAGGGTTAAATATTAGAGTATCGCCGGTATTATCTATTGACGTTATCATTCATTTCGAATGTTGCTATAATAAAGTTTATTTTCATTAAGTACTTTTTGACTTATGAGGGTTGAATATTAGAGTATCGCCGGTATTAGCATCATCTATTGACGTTATCATTCATTTCGAATGTTGCTTTATCCAAAAAACAACTATGTTAAAGAAAAAGTTAGGTTCTTTGTCAATTCTCTGCATCATGAACTCACAAAATTTGTTTTGATTGAAATCATCTTTGTAGAAAAAATACGGACGGTACTCTAATATTCAACCTTCATAACTCAAAAAGTACTTAATGAAAATAACTTTATTGTGTTTTGGAAAGCTGTTGAATTAACAATTAATAAAGACTTAAGGCTCGTGAAATTTAAACCAATGAGTGAATATAAGGCCTTACGAGCCGTTCTCAAAGTGTTGAGCGAGAACTTATACATGTATATATATATATGTATACACATGTAACGAATTCACTTGTAAATTTTTACAAGTGAGTTTTTCGAATTGAATTCTCAATTCTTATATATATATACACGCACAGTTTCCGCTCAAACATCCTGCAAATGGCTCGTGTAAGGCCTCTTATATATTTCTTGTTATTAAAGTTAAAATAATGAGATGTCAAAAATAAAACACTTGAGTGGTGGTCAACAATCACTTGGCGATATGCAACCTTTACAAAACCATTTATATATGAATCGCACGTTTGTATAGGTATAGGTTGCATATCATCTCAAGCGATTGTTGACTACTACTCAAGTGTTTTATTTTTGACATCTCATTTTAATTTTATTTTTGTGACCATCATATTGGAGATGTACAGCTCCTTTTTTTTATCAGTTATAAACTTATATTTTTCAACTCATTTGCGACATTCTAAACTATACAACAAATGTCAGAATTAAAAGTTTTCCTGTAGATTCACCGAAGAAGATCCAGACTGGGATCGAAACGTATGAAATTCATTGTTTCAACATAATAATTACAATAAAGTACATGAAGACCCGATACATTGCTTGTAACGCCTATTGTTTTTTATATAAATTTAAGAAGACTTTAAGAAAAAGTTCATTTATAAAGTAAATTCTTAATACCATCGCATTTGTCAACTTCCTGTAGCATGGTTTTTAATTGCTGTATACTGCCAGCTTCTCTCACAGCAAGTATGGCAAGTCTTAAACTGAAGAAATCAAGATTCAAAAAAGATCTTTCAACTAAACAGGGAAAGACAGCACATTCCACATCATGACATTTTTTCCACTCCGCATATTTGCACTCTTCCGAGCAATACATAGCATAAGTACAGTAGTTGCAAGGTATATTTGCCCAACATACTCTCAAACAATTTGAACAGTGTGTTTGCATGTTCTCTTGCGTTAACATCATTGAATAAGGCTTTTCCACCGCAATTACCTCACCTGGACGAATGTTACGAGTGGCAACAACATGTCTGCCATAACGTTTATTGTACTTTATAGCTACTGCATCTGATGCGCAAGGAACTTCATTATTTTGAGGTATAATAGTAGGAAGAGGAGATTCCTTTATTTGTGCTTCTCTCAAAGGATTTTGAACATTTGGTTTGATTTGTACAGTCTTACGATGTAAAACATTGAGCTTTGCTCTCAACTTCTCTTGATTTGCATCCTTCTGAGACATCTCTAGCCAATGCTGGGCCTCTTTAAGAGTATCTTCTGTGGAACAACTTTCCAGAATCATTAAACATTCTGCTTTGCGAATATAAAGCTTTGCTTTCAGATTGTCTGGATAATTGAAAGCTAATGCTCGATCAATGTCCAAAACACATTCTAAATGCAATCCTAGTTGAAACAAAACCGCCGATCTGTTGGCATATGCCAGTGCAAGTTGCTCAGACGGATAAGGCGCAAAGGCTATACTCTTAGTATATAATTTCAGTGCGTCTACACATGTCATATTATCAAGACCACCTTTGACAAAGGTTTTATTGCCATTTTCTCGTAGTTCCTCTGATTTTTTGGCATCTTTTGGCATTCCAGTTGCATTAGGAATAATATAATAGTCTCGCATAACATTAGAAGTAAATATTACACGTTCCTCATCAGTCTTGAGTTTCCTATATTGTTCTGAAAGTTCTTTTATACGTGTACCTAATTTCTTATTTAGTATATCTATTATTTTATCCATTTTTGTTTTTTGTTACAGAAATATGATCTTAACGTGCTTGCTATAAAATCTAAAAAACAAAAGAAAAACTTTACAATATAACATACGCAATACTTTTCTGTAAATTTTCATCTGTTTCTAATGTCGGCATTTGTGACCAAAAACTAGCCAAACAGATTCAAAATTTGCTTAGATCCATATTAAAATCAATACATCTGAGTGATTTTGTTTTTGTGACAACGTCCCATATACAATACATGTGTTGTGTGGGGTCTATTTTTTTAGAAATGCATAATCTAGCAACATCTCAAAGCTCACCTAACGGATTTACTAAATAAAACATAAATATTTTTTTTTAATCTCACTCAGAACGTGTTAATCATAAATTTTTAAAGTCAGGCACAAGTTGCTCTTTTTGCACACACAATATATGTAAAATTTTATCTAAAATTATACATCCACACTTCTATGCAATTTGTCTCACCCTAAAAGATAAATCTTAGCACTTAGCAGTAGATAGTCTGTCGTCTGTCAGTCTCTTGTGTAGTCTTTTGTTGCGGCAGAGAAAAGTCTGAGAGCGGCCAGGTCAATAAGAAAATGTGCAATCACTTTTCCGTCCCGTAAACTAACGCATGTCCACGGGTGGTACACATTGGAACTACGCAGCCAGTCCACAAGCGACACGTCGCCGTCGGTGCGCTATGTCCACAGGGTGCGGTTCTATTCTGTGCTATGTGCACGAGTTTAAATGGTCACTTTCTTTAAGTGTGTGAATATATTCGAGAGCGTGAATTTGATTGTTTTGAAATTTAAAACGACCGATCTCGTGATGAGAAGATGAGAAAGGAATCAGAAAAGAATAAGAAAAACCATTGCAACTTTTCGTACAACATAAATGTGATATACCAGAAAAGATGTGATAGTCAAGAAAAGAATCTTATTTTAGCGAGCAACATCAGAATTCGTGGAGGTAGTCAAATATCATCATTTACATCATCATTTGCTGCTCTGTGCTTTATAAATCTTATTTTATCTTCTTAAAAATACTACGTATATATGTATATATAGATACAAAATACACAAAAAACCACGTATAATAATATACAAAAATATAAACAAAGGTGTTTTAACAGTACATAAATATAATGTCTAAAAAGTTGCAATTCCAAGAAATATACATAGCTTTTGCTTTTTTATTTAAAACTCTTTATCAGTGTGTGTTTTCTATTTCCAAGTTTTATTTTACAATTGTTTTATACATTACAATAGAATATACAACTCTATTACACATTTATTACATAAAACACATACAATATAATACAATATTATATATAATATAATATAAATAGTTATATATACTCCTACCTGCCTACCTATATTACACATATCTTAACCGTTACTAGCGTTATTAATTAGGATTAAAGCTGCAAAACAGCCACGGTAGGCTCAACAACACCTCTGAAGCACATACATTTCGCTTAAGTTCTTCGCGGCGTGTTGCTTTGCGCCAAGCGATACAAATTTTGTCACCGCGTCTAAGTTTTCGCGGCGTGTTGCTTTGCGCCAAGCGATACAAATTTTGTCACCGCGTCTAAGTCCTCGCGGCGTGTTGCTTTTTCTCGCTTACGGGTTCTCGCCTAACCACCAAGACAAGCCCCCCAGACCGAGATTCTGTGTCTCGAAAGATCGCAGGGTGGTTTACCGCTCTCTTATCGAGTACACTATATTTCGGCCCAGTATTTTTTTGATCGGCCACACAGTCCGGAGCGAAAAGTTCATTCAAAAACCTTCGGACACTTGAGCGTACACATCGCGTACACAAGCGCCTCATTGAATCGCGGAATACACCTCATTGAATCGCGGAACATATACCATCCGCTTATAATATATACATCATCGGGAGAGGATCGGAGGGCAAGCG